TATCTTCTTAGAATAATGTTTTAAAATCATAAAAATAAAATAAATAAGATTACAAAGGAACCCTATCTTATTTAAATAGTTACCAAAATACATTTTTAAAAAGTTAACAGACCCCAGGTTAAGAACTCCTGGTGTAGAAGAAAGATTGGAAAGGGTAGAGATGGAAGGATGTTTCAAAGTTCAAGTGAGAGATAATGGAAGACATACTATTATGGCAGTAGTGGAAATAAAGAGGTACTGGTCTGAGATGTATTGAGGAGATAGAATTGAGAATTCTCAATTCTAACAGACTCTATATGAGAGATGAGTCAAAGGTCATACATGAAGACCTAGATAAAACTTTAAGGTTGTCACAATAACCTTGTGAAGTTGACACTTCAAATATCATTATACCCATTTTATAAAGGAGGAAATAGGGAATAGAAAGGTTAACTGTGGGCTTTGTCCACAGATAATAAAGGTATAAAGTGGCAGAGCCATAGTCAAATCAAGTCTTTTGCTGAATGGTGGGGTTGATAGAGTGCTGGCCGTGAAGTCAGGAAGACCCGAGTTCAAATATGGCCACAAATATTTACTAGCTTTATTACCCTAAGGCAAGTTGTTTAACCACTGTCTTTTTAGTTTCCTCACCTGTAAAATGGGGATCATAATAGCACTTACCTCCCAGCATTGCTATTAGGATCAGATGTAATAATATTTGTAAAGCACTTAGCACAGTGCCTGGCATAGCATAGCCACTTAATAAATGTTTGTTACCATCCCCCTTTTTCCTTCATTCCCCTCCCTTCCCCAGTTCTTCTTCTCTTGTAGCATAACTGAGTTCATAAGGTGCCTGTTGATTACTTTTCATCCATTTAACCAGTATTTATTGAGCCCTTGCTATGTGTGGGGCACTCTTCTAGGCTTTACTGCTAAATCAAAGTATAAGCAGAATTTGAACAACCAATTTTGGTACCTCGGGCAAAGAGCATGAAATGTGTGCCCTGAAATCAACTTTGTAATTCACGGTTTGAAAATAATATAGAAAGAAATTAAGACAAATTCACTGGAGCAGGGGATGGGAAAGGAGCAGAATTAGTTACTATAGTAACATTAATGCTGAGAGAGAGCTGTGTTAACTTCTTAAAATTCTTGGTGCCCCAGGGCAAAGCCCACCCACGTCATCCAGCCAAATTATTACTCTAAGAAGAAAATGTATTTCTTCACCTCCAAGAGCTGTAATCATCTCCTTGAGAAGCCAGCACAAGCATACACATAACCATGAAATGAAGTAGTACACAGTAAGTGATGAACAGTAGAGATGCTAAGAGCTGACAGTACAAACAAAGGAGGTATCCCTTTCAGCTGCCTTCTCACCCTGGAACATCCCTCCCTCCCTATAGCCTCTTCCTCAAGCTGGCAAGGTCCTCCCAAAACCACCATTTTGAGGACAGCTCCAGACCAGCCATCCTGCATTTTTCTCCAAGCTCTACTTCTGACTCTCTGGACTTCATCACCTCCATTCCTCCCCCTTCCTTTTCTTTTCAGTTTTCTTTTATGTATGTCTTTCTCCACCCCTGAAAGAAGGTAAGCAACTTGAGGGCAGGGACTATCTTTTTGCTTACATTTGCAAAGGCTGCTGGGGAGGGGGGTAAAGGATAAATAGTTATGCCTGCAATCAGGAAGACTTGAGTTCAAATTAGAGAAGACACTTACTAGTTGTGTAACCCTGGGCAAGTCACTTAATCTCTGTCTCCCTCAGTTTCCTCAATGGTAAAAAAAAAGGGGGGGGAGTAATCATAGGACCTACCTCAAAGGGTTGTTGTGAATATCAAATGAAATAACATTTTTAAAAATCACTTTACACAGTGCCTGGTACATTGTAGTCACTATAGAAATGCTTTTCCCTCTCCCCTTGTCCCTTTATATTTGTGTTCCCAGCACTTAACACATCATAAATGCTTATTTCCTTGAGACAAAAAATGTAACACTTGATTTGGTTGTTGGGGGACAAACAGATTTTTTGAAGTTAAGAGGTGCGGGTGGAGGGAACATAGTAAAGTCATTAATGTGTGTGCAGGGAACAATGACTACATCAATTTGGCAGGAGTTGAAAGATAATATGATCCAGGTGGATTGGCACCAGATTGTGAAGGGTCTTGAATTCCAGACTAAGGAGTTTAAACTTTGTTCTGTGGATGGTGGGAAGTCATCAAGTATTTGAGAAAGGAAGAACATTTTGTTTTTACAAAAATTAGTCAGGTAATAGAATCAGGATGTTCCAAAGGGGAAAGAAATCAGAGGTGGTAAGAAGACTCCTAGACAAGTAAAGTCAAGGAGGAACTAGCCCTTGACAGCACATCTCCACATCACCAGCAGGAGATGTGCTAGTTTCTACAAAACCCATTGAATAAAAAGGAAGATTTGGAGTCATCTGTGCTCCAATCACTTACCCTAATTCCACAGCTTGGCAGGGAGAAAGCCTGAAGGGTTTGAAAGTGAAAAAGAAAGCTAGGAGCCAGAGGCTAAGGAAAATTTTAAATTAAGCTATAAATTTTAGGGGAAGGCTTATGGAACCTTCCCACTCCCATACCCAGGAATTGGGAGCCCTGAGGACTGTGTTTGGGTGCCCATTGCACTGGTTTTCTATAGTCATGACACAGATTCTTTTTCATTGCAAAGATATTGCCTCTTATGTCTCTTAGTATAATAGAGAGAGCTGAACAGTGGATAGAGAGCAATGGGGATGTTAATAGCATATACTTCCCAGGGCTGTTGTGAGGATCAAAGGAGATAATGATTGTGAAGGGTCTGGCACATAGTAAGCACTACATAAATGTTAGCTACTGTTATTGTTGTTGTCATTATTATTATCATATGCAGGGAGGTCAGAATTTTTTCTTTTAACATATTCTTAGAGAGATGCCTGGAAAACTAGGAGGTTAAGTGATTTGCCTCAGAGGTAAAAATTGAATCCAGTCTTCCTGACTGTAAGGTCAGACAATGCTGCCTGCTTTTCTCTGGACTATTAGCACAGTTCCTGGCACATAGTTAGCACCTAATGAATTCTTGTTAGTGTGTTTGTTCCTCCTTTTACAATTCCCTGTACCAGGGAACTCCCAGCTCCAGTCTCCAACCCGATAAGACAGAAACTATTCTCCTGGCAGATAGACTCAGCAAGTGAAAAGAATGTGTTTTCACTTGAAAGATCAAAGGTTGTGGCTAAATTATTCCCTAAAATCTGAGAGAAATATGACAACTTCTGTCAGAGTTTCCCATCAGCTGAATATTTGGACACCTGTAGGCATAGATGAAGTCTAAACTCTGCCCAGCCTCTCATTAAAACTTAACTAGAAAAATCCCCCCCAAACAAAACAAAAAAATGGAAAACATCACCAAAACCAAATATCCTTTTTTTTTTCGGAAACTTAACCTCTTGCTTCATTTTTCCCTTGGTCTATTAAAATAAAGCCAGGTTAAAAGAGTGAATGTAATTCTGAATAGAAGATTTTTAATTTCAGAATCTATTAATTGGTTATAACTCTCTTAGCTTAAAAAGCTTAGAAAGTATGAAGCAAGTTAAAATTTCAATTATGCATCTTACCCTTAGGCAAACTTACCCAAACAGCTACTGGAATTAAATTAGGATGTATACTTGCTTCTGGAAGCTTGCCAACTCATTTCTGGTTGAAGTGAATACTCTAAGAGCTTGAGAGACCTGAGCAGAAAGCCAATTCTGTATTATTTTGAGGCCCCCCTTATCATGAGCATGATATGAGGAAATTGCTTTCTTGTATTTTCAAAGAAGATATTTAACATTTGCCCCAATGTCAATATTGTGTAAAATACTCACTCTCTATATATTTTGGTGAATGTCACTGACAGCATGGGTTTTTGAGTGTACTGGAGGCTGGTTTTGTTACTCTTCTGAGCCCTTATGTCCCTGGACTGCTAGCAAGGAGGTACTACAGTAGTATTCCTGGTGTAATGTTTTCCTTGAGAATTGAAATATGGATAATTCAAGCCTGAGCACCTGAGCTCATGTGTCCAAATGGCTCAGCAATTTGGCTGCTAGATAGTGCAATATATAGAATGTTGGATTTGGAGTCAGGAATTCCTGAGTTAGAATCCAGAAATCATTTAGTGCAACCCCTTCATTTCAAAGATGTAGAAACTAAGGACCCAGATCATGAAATGATTTGCCCATGGTCACCTACCTAGTTAATGATATAACTAGGACTATAACTCAGGCTTCCTGACTTTGAGTCCACTGCTTTTAATATCAAGGAAATTAATTTCAGCAAACTTTTTAAAATTGCTACTTTGTGCAAGGCTCTGTACTTGGTGTTGAGTATACAAAGACAGTAAATGATGTGGACTTTGCTTTCAATGAGCTTTGCTGTTCAGTCACTTTTTCAGTCATGTCTGATTCTTCATGACCCCAAGTGGGGTTTTCTTAGCAAAGATATCAGAGGATTTGCCCATTTCTTCTCCAGCTCATTTTCTAGATGACAAAACTGAGGCAAACAGGGTTAAGTGACTTGCCCAGGGTCACATAGCTAGTAAGTATCTGAGGCTGAATTTGAACTCAGAAAGATGAGTCTTCCTCACTCCAGTCCAGGCGCTATATCCACTGTGCCACCTAGCTACCCCTCGAGGAACTTAAAGACTAATAAAAAAAAAAGGTTACATGTCAACATGTATATAATTAAGAGTAGACTGACTTGATAGGGTGATCAAAATTCCTAGACCAAATAGGCTGTTACAGTTGTTTCATTCAGCATTAGTGGCCAAAATGAATCACTTCATCACCACTTGAGGCATCCACATACAGTGTTGGATTGTAATGATCATTAGAGGAAAAAATAAATCCCAAGTAGCCCTCAAAACATTATACTAAAATAGTTCTATTACTTAGCATGAGCCCAAATAGCAGTGTTTCAGATTGCAATAAAAAGTAGTCCATGATTTTGTATGGGCTTCCCTGGTTAATTGCATTCTTTTTTTTCTTTCCAAATTAGATATTTATCTTTGAGAATAACATCTACTACTGTGCACACGTGGGGAAACAAGCAATCCGGGTGGTCTCTACAGGGAAAGAAGGTGTCATTTACAATGGTCTCAGTGACTGGCTCTATGAAGGTAAGACATCCCAGCTCAGACATAAAATGTGGGGCTTTTTTGTAATTTGAATTTGAGCATAGATGAAACTGCAGATTCTCAAGTCTTTATTCAGTTGAAAGGGGAATACAAGAATTTGAAGATTCTTCAAGCTGTCACATATATTATAATAGGGACTGCTTGTCTAATATGCCCCAGTGGGAGAAGAATGTCAAACTTGACCAGCTATGTTTTCCAATGCTCTTTTTTCCTTGGAAATATTTTAATGAACAGACTTGTTTTGTTAGGCCTTGATACCTGGCAACGCTCACTATTGCAAATGTAGGCATAGCTCCAACTGGACAAAGGTTTTTTTTTTTTTTTTGCCCAGAGTACTATGAGATATCAAGGGAAGAAAACAAAAATTGCCATGAAGAAAATACCTGGATGATTTCCTCTTCTGAATGCTAGCACCTTGCTGGACATTCTCTGCTAGTGAATACATTTTAGCTCCATTTGTGATATATTTGTGATTGGCAGACATTTATAATCCTGTAGAACAACTAAATACTTGTTAGTTAAGCCTTCCTTTTAAAACACTTGTAATCAATCACCGTGCCTCATTGGATGTTGAAAAATGTTTATTTGAGAATATCATTGAAAAATTCCATTTCATATTATTTCCCCTCCTCGGTATATGGGTCAAGTATGCTTATTACCAATGACATTTTATTGATAAATAGCTTAAGCTCTTCTCGGACTCTGTACCTGGGACCAGATGGTGACAAAAATATTCATCTTGGTATAAAGATCCAAGGGAAAGGGTAAAGTATGCTGAGGATGGTATTAAGCCAATGTGCTTGCTATGTTGTTATTTTATTAAGTATCAGTTGCATTCATCCAACAAATATTTATTCAGTTGTTCTATGTGCAGAATACCTTCCTGGGCATTGGGAGAGATACAGAGTTGATAGAAGACATGATTCTTGACTTCATAAAGTTTCTCATCCAGTAAGAAGATAAGACAGAGACAATGATAATTGATGAAGAACTGAAATACAAATCTCTCATAAATCAGAATTCCATGAATTATTCATTATTATTATCCCAATGACTTTCGGCATTTTAAATAGTAAAAGGTTTTGGAGAGAAGTGATTTCATTCAGCTCTTCGTAACCTGGCCCCTTCCTAGATTTCCAGCCTTCTTCCCCACATTATGGGCTTGCATGCAGTTCTCTGAACATGACAGTACATCTCCCATCTACATACTTTTGCACAGGCTGTCCTCCAGGCCTGAAATACTCTGCCCCTCCTCCTCACCTTCCTGGTTTCCTTGACTACTCAGCTGAAATCCCGCCTTCTGCAGGAAGCCTTTCCCAGTTCTACCAGCTACTAGTGCCTTTCCCTCTTAGCTTACCTTTCATCTACTCTTGTATGTATCTTGCATGCATCTAGTTATTTACATGTTATCATCTCCATTAAAATGTAACCACCTCGAGGGCAGGGACTGTTTTTGCCTTCTTTATATCCCCAGCATTGTCAGAGTGCCTGGCATATACTAAGTGCTTAATAAATGCTGGTTGACTGACTAGTGATAAAATAAAGTGACTTTTTAATAAATATGCCAGAACTTACCTATCTAACTGTGCTACTCTTCCTTCCAAGTAGTCACTTGGTCATCAACATACGTATCAATAATGCTGCATTGCTTTCCTAAAGTTCTTTAATGGGACTTTGACAGAGATAAGATAATAGATTTAGAGCTGAAAGGGAAATCAGAGGTTATCAGCCCTTTTTGTTGTCATTGTTGTTCAATTTTATAGTCACATCCAATTCTTCGTGACCCCATGGGCATGCCAGGCCCCTGTATCTTCCTCCAACTCTCAAGTCTGTCCAAGTTCATGTTCATTGTTTCCATGACACTATCTATCCATCTCATCTTCTGCCACCCCCTTTTTCTTTTGCCTTCAATTTTTCCCAACATCAGGATTTTTTCCAGTGAGTTCCATCTTCTCATTATGTGGTTAAAGTATTTAAGCTTTAGCTTCAGTATTTGACCTTCCAGTGAATAGCCTAGTCCATTATTTAACAGATATGGAAACTATGATCCAAAAAAGTTAGGTAACGTAAGTGGCAAAGGTTGGATCCAAGTACTCAAGTCACTTGACTACAAAGACATGAGCATTGCACTGTGCAACCCCCTGTAATAAGGAATGAGGAAAAGTAACTCCTTTTCTATTCCCATTTCTCATGACATTTCCCTTGGTTTCTCTTTGGCATTTATTTTATCGTTCTGTATTCAAAGGTGGGGTTGGTTGAGTAAATCGATCAAATCACCCCATTCTACTTAAAGTAACTAACTAGAATCTGTGTTTTGACATCAGTGTTATGTGAGAAAGTGTCTCAACAGAATCAGAAAATCAGGGGTGTGAACTAAGAGGTAACAAGGCCTAGTTGAAGGCTCCACAGGAAGTCTATTCAAGTAGGTAGAGTGGCTTGGTCATCCCATGTGGAGCTTTTTATAAAACCAGAAAGACAGTTTAGAATAGGAGATCCAAGCATCTGGTAGCTTAGGATAAAAGCCTCCAGCCAAGTTCCTAAAAAGAAGTCACTTAGGCATGTGAGGAAAGGAGGATGCTTGGCTCTTGGCCTCCATCTCCCTCTACCCCAGACCCTGACCAGAGAAGGACCTTGTGAACTTGAAAGTTTGGAGAATTTGGACTTTGGTCATGATTCTTGCAGCATCTCCAGAACATTATTGGCTGGCAGCAGTGTCTTCATTGGTCACCGAAAATAAATGAGGCATGATGAGGGAAGGCAGATTCAAAGTTCCACAAGGAGCCCAGCAGAAAAGCTCCACTGTACCTAAGGAGAAATTTATAAGTACCTCCATGAAGGGGATAAAGGGGCTTCTGGCACCAGAAGTTATGAGTTGTTACTTTGTCATACATGTCCTCTAAGCTTGAGTTAACTTTCCCGTCTACTATGAAAATTTCTTCAGCTGTGAGAAAGTATGAAACAGACTTTGGGGGAATATGTACCAGCTATATCACCTTAGTAGGTATCTGTTTCTAAAAGCTAATTAAATCTTGCTTATTAATTGACGGCAACTGATGATCATGGGAAGAAGTATACCAGAGAGGGCTGGTGAGCAATAGTACTAGAAAATCATCCCACCTCCTAGACCCTTAGAGGCACACCTCTGAAGGCCCAGCCTTCTAGTGCAAATGGAGATTTGGAAGAGCAGTTCCAAAATAGAGGTTGTACTTGTACCTTAGTTATTCATGTACACCTCTCTCATTCTATGCTCCTGATCATTATTTTCAAGAAGACATCCTTGGAAGCAAGACCTGTTTTCAATCAGTTTGTCAGGAAGAAGTACTATGAGCCAGGATCTCAGATCTGATCCTCTTAGGTGGTAATCATTCCACCAGGGTTGTAAGAGGGAATATAGATAGATATTTGGTGTTTAAAATTAGCCAGTTCCTAGATTACCTGTCTAAAGGGCACTCCAAGGATTTGGTTGTAGCAGCCTCAATTCTTTCTAGGATTAACCTACTTTTGCTTCAAAAAAAAATCCAGGAGGAGATTTAAAATGGATTTTTAAGGCTTTTTCACATAAAATATAAAAGTTCATTGCCATTCAAGTTAAGACTTTACTTTGTTCAGTCTGTTGAAAGGAAACTTTTCTTTGAAGTATTTACACTGAATTGTTGACTTGATAATCTAGCCCCCCCCCCCAATTTAAATCAATTGGAGCTGATATAGCAGCTTAATCTACTTAGTGTTTTTCCGTGGAAATTTATAGATTGATACATAAATTATTATATCATGGGAGCCTCAGGGAATCTTGCTGTGGTGTTGGCTTTTAAAATAGGAAGATAAGCGTTGAAGACATTTTCTTCTGAGGCTTAACCTTTTCAATTCTGGGCCCTTTAAATACTTGCAGAAGTAGGATAAGAAAGCAAAGATCCTCAAAGCTATTACAGACAGATACGGCTTTCATGGAAGTGTGTACTGCAAACTATACTGCTAGATTATTGATTTATTTGGAACACAAGAACTTAAAACAGGGCCAGACTTAGCCTGAGCCAAAGCCAGAGGAGTCAACAGATATCCAAGTGTATCATTTGAAGAGATTTGAGCTACCTCAGGGCCTCTCTGGACCACCAAGTTCATTCCACAAACAAGACTTTTTTTCAAATTAACTGTAGGAAAAGTAGCCACCCCTCAAAAATACCTATATGCTCCACATTTCAGTAATATTGAGGGTGGAGGTGCTTAGGGCATCACAGAAGTCTTTGATGGGTCAAGAAGATCTGAGTTTATGTGACCTCAGACACTTCCTAGCTGTGTGACCCTGGGCAAGTCACTTAATCTCTATCTCCCTCAGTTTCCTCATCTTTAAAATGGGGGAAATGATAGTATCTATTTCATAGAGTTGTGAGAACCAAATGAGATAATATTTGTAAAGCACCAAGGATAGTACCTGGCATGTAGTAAATATTTAACAAATGTTTGTTCCTTCCCTCTTTGTAAAGTTTTAATTTTTAATAAATCCAGAAATATAAGTGCTATAAACTTTCAAAAGTCATTTGAAAGATTATTTTTTTAATTTTTTAATTATTCTTATGTTTCTTACTAAAGTTCAACATAACCACTATCTTGGGCCATGTACATCATTGGAATCAGTTTTCAAATTTGATCAGCTGATGCATAGTGAATGAAGGGATTAAATTCATAATCCTAGGCCCAAAATCATCCAACGAACAAGGTCTTGATGCATTCATGACAATTTTGATGTGATCTCATAAGAAAAAGTCTGACAAAGATAGCTCAAATGACCAAGATGGCCAAGTAAGAGGACCTCCTCTACCAATCCACTTGTCTGATCAAGTGTCATCAAGAGAGTATAACACGCAACACACAATGCATAAATACTGGGTTATCTATTCTTATTGAAATTAAAATTTGAAAATGATTATTCCAAATTCATGGGTAGCTAGGCATTACAGTAGATGGAGCAGCACCTGAAGTCAGGA